CCCCAAAACCCCAAAACCCCAAAACCCCAAAACCCCTTTAGAGGAGAGAAGTTTTGAAAATTTATAATATTAAAAATATATTACAATGTTCTCATCGAAGAATATGCATGATGATGAGGAGGAGAAGGAAGATCCTCAAAGTCAGGTGAGAGAGAGTGATAATAGAGATGAAAATATGGCGCCGGAGAATGATAGTCATATTAGTCTACAGAAAATATCTCCGAAGCTTGGAATGAAAACAATACTTCCTCCTCACCAATCTAAATGTAAGTATCTTTTATCAGAAAAGTCTTGCAAATCCATACTAAAGCTTTCTTTGATTTGGTGAAGTAAAGTAGATTTTAACTCTGGTAAAATTAAAATTTTGATAATTTAGTAAAATCTGATGCGATTCTAATCACCTAAAAGATCTTAATAATTAAAATATATCTAATACAAAATTTAGTTGAAACTTGTTTCAGAAAGATAGAAGACCATGACGCTGAAAACACGCATGAAGATATCCAACGACTTTCTAATTCTAATCGTAGAACCGAGTTGCAAAATTTTGAAAGATCCAAAACAATGATTCCTCCAAGACACATTACAGCTACCAGCATGAGTGATCTCCCGAATACAGCAAATTTTCTAAAAGAAGAAATTAAAGAAGAGATCAAACATTCTATGGAAGAAGAAAAAGAGCTCAGAATTTCACACAGAAGAAACCAAAGCTTCACCTTGACTCCTTCGAATCCACCTAATGTAGAGATGGAGCCAAACTATAATGCAGAAGATGATGATGAATCTCAGAAAAGTGAGACTTTTCAAGAGCCAGATCCTTCAAGCAGCTCTTCTTCATCATCTCAGCCTGAAGAGCCCCGACATGAACCATCTAATTCAGGTTTAGATTTAATAACAGTTCCAAATTTAGCCCAAAGACTTCCTCCTGAAGCTAATACAGCTAATTCTTTGCACACCAGGAATGAAATAAATTCCTCTGTCGAAGTACTCAGTAAGACTTAGCTTTTATATTCTTATAATTTTGCAATAAAACTGCTAAATTTCTTAGGTATTTTCCTTGCTAAAGCTCTAGCTTTAAATAGCTAGCCAATAATGTTGTCTTGCCCTAAAATACATAACTTAGGTCAAACAGAGGTTTCCTATACAGACATCTCATAGATCCTCTCTATCTCTCCATTACCTTGCATTTCTAAATTATTTCCCGAGTAAAAACCTATTTAATATCGCTCCAAAACAAAGCCAATGTGCAACCTAATTTATAAAACACTTCAAAACATTACATTACACAAAATAGGCAATACAATTCCAATCATGCCAGTCCTAAACGATTTCGACTCTGCAGAATCATACGTCACCGAAAACAGGAACAATTTCCGAGAAAATCTCGAAGACCAAATTGACTCTATAAAAGTCTCCTTCGTAGACACCATCACTCATGAAAAGTAAGCCTACATTCCCTAAAAATCCCCCAAAATTTTCAAAATTTCCTTCTCCACCACTCATCCCAATCCTACAGCTACAGCATTCACGAAGCGAAGAAGGAATTGAACAACCGCATAAAAGCTTTCAAGAAGGCAAATAAGCAGGAATTTGACCGAATCCAGATGCAAAAGGAAATCTGTAGGGAGAATAAGAAGAGGATTACCAAACTACAGAAGGAAAGTGAGGATATTATAGACCTAGATGTAGGTGGCACCCATCATATTACAACTACTAGGGCCACTCTTTGACGGTTTAAAAATAGTGGCCTCGCTGCGATGTTCAGTGGAAGGCATCATATGAGGTATAATAAGGATAGGGTCTTTATAGATCGTGATGGCGACCCATTTTGTAAAGTAATTAGCTATCTTAGGACTGGAGAATTGCCTATAGTTAATGATAAGAAGCAAGAACACTTGTTTAAGGAGGAAATGGACTTTTGGCAGATTCCTTTTAATGGGGAGGAGGAAGAGGAGAAGATCTCTGATACTTCTCTTATTCCATCATTTGATTCTCAATGGTGAGCGCCTACCTTGCAGTTAGAGCTAAATCAGAAAGTTGTAAAGAAAAACGGCCCAAATCATGGCATAATTTTCTGTTCTCATCCTTTTGACGAAGAGTATAACTATGTTGAGTTCAAAGTAACCATTATTCAGCCAGCTAGAACAAAGTCTCATCTTTTTATTGGAGCTGTTGATAGATCAAAATATAGAAAGGAATTCCTCACATCAACATTTTGGAGAGATTCTCCTTGCTCCTTCTACTGGGATGTCTGGAATACTAAGATCATAAAGACTGATGAAAATGGACAACAAGCAGGTGTTCTCTCTTCATATGGCTGTCCTTGCTATGAGAATGAAACTAAGCTCGCCATTAGCTTTGATCCGATTGAGAAAACACTTTCTTTCTACAAAAATGGATTTCTTCAAGGAACAGCTTTCAGAGGAGTTGATAAAGGTCTGTATCCCTCTCTTGACATATGGTTTGAATCTGGCTCAGTAGAGCTCCTGTCTACCAGTAAGCCAAAGTCTAAGACCTTCTTGTAACCACTAATTTCTTCAATTTTTGTAATGCAAAAGGGGTTTTGGGGTTTTGGGGTTTTGGGGTTTTGGGGTTTTGGGG